TAAACAAAAATGTTTGACATTGTGATTTAGACATCAATCAACTTCTAAAAGTGGTAATGGGAAATTTCTGCATCTCCATAGATTTCAACATCAATTAACTGGTCTTCCAAGTTGAGAAAAAATTTAGGGACAGAATCTAGAATCCCAACTGGTTCTTTTTTATATTTTGTATAAGATAAATGGGAAATTCACAAATTCATAGACCAGATATATTTTGAAAATATGCCCCCTGCTTTAGAGAATGCTTTTCATAAATACTGGTTTCTTCCTAGATACAGAGACTATGAATAAAACAATAGTTATCAGCAAATAACCATGGGACAGTAGAAATTAACTGTTATATATGAACAAAAAAGAACCACTTACTTCTTCAGATAGCTTATCAATCTCTGATATGTAAGAGTCGATTGCATCCACTTTCGTGCCAAACAGCCCTAGAAAACCAGTCTGATAAAAAGAAAAGATGAATGCTGGTTAGACTAGAATTTCCCACATACAAATCAACAAACTACTTTTCCTCTTGTTTATAAGATAAAAGGTTGAAGTTGTCTACATAATTAACCTTTCGAGTTGGCCTTTTAGATGGATTTCTTTCATACTTTAGTTGATAGTAGTCAAGCCAATTCGTCAACTGTTTCTTCTTTTCAACAAGCTTAGAAAGTTTATTCGCATTATACACAACCTGAAAGACATCTTCAATCAGAAATGAAGACCAAAATTACACCATAAACTACTTATACGATACAAATCAAACATAAATGAGAAACATTGGAAGATAAGATGTATAATATTGTACAGCTCTTAAAAGTACATTATATATTTGTCAAAATTGAAAGTCAAAAGAATAATCAATCTATAACAGACACGGAAATTATGAAAATTTTATTAGGTTAATGCTGCTACAGAGTATTGGTACAGAAGCACAGATAGTGACAGAATAGTAAGAGACTAAACTTCTTGCCCAAAATGAGAATCGCACTTTCTTCCACGGATAGGAGACTAAGCTGCTCGCTGCAGATAGTGACTAAAGATTGTAGACGTCAAAAAATGCTGAAAGATATCCAAATACAGCTCAAGAGGAAATCATCCAAAAAAGGCAGAAGAACACAAGTCTTGACTGTCTCGCCGTGCGAGACAGACTTGACTGTCTCGCCGCGCGAGACAGTCTTTACTATCTCGCCGTGCGAGACAGTCTTTACTGTCTCGCCGTGCGAGACAGTCTTTACTGTCTCGCCGTGCGAGACAGCTCGCTCACGCGAGACAGTCTTTGCTGTCTCGCCGTGCGAGACAGAATTTACTGTCTCGCACGTGAGACAGCTTTCAGATGGTCAAAACTACATTTGTAACTGCCCTACACGTGGCCACTAACTGTTCAAGAACGTGGGAAACGTCGTGGGCGAGAATCACGTGGATAACTGCCAAAATAACGGAGTTTGAAACGTGGGAAGGCAGTTAAGATGAAAACTGCCTGCGGTTACACTGCCAGGAATATTCCTTTTCCGAGACAGTGTTTACTGTCTCGCGGGCCGAGACAGCAAACACTGTCTCGCCCGTCGAGACAGCAAAAGCTGTCTCGCGAACATGTTTTCTGCCAACTGTTCCTAGAGGCTATATATACCCCCCGAAGGCTATTTTCTCGGGGGGCTGATCATTTTGAGCACTTCAGAACACTTCAGAGCAATCCAGAGCAGAGAGAGAGCAGAGGTCTTGAACTTTCGGCCACTCCTTGATAATCAGGCTTTGACTTGATTTCAAGAAGAACGACTATCTTACTTCAAGCCAAAATCCCCTCTCGATTCGTTCCATGAACGAGAGGTCCACAAATTGAACGATCAAACCTTTAAACAGTTAGGATCGTCTCAAATTCCCATCTTGGTCAAACCTTTAAACAGTTAGGACCAAAGCCAAAATCCCCTCTCGATTCGTTCCATGAACGAGAGGTCCACAAATTGAACGATCAAACCTTTAAACAGTTAGGATCGTCTCAAATTCCCATCTTGGTCAAACCTTTAAACAGTTAGGACCAAAGCCAAAATCCCCTCTCGATTCGTTCCATGAACGAGAGGTCCACAAATTGAACGATCAAACCTTTAAACAGTTAGGATCGTCTCAAATTCCCATCTTGGTCAAACCTTTAAACAGTTAGGACCAAAGCCAAAATCCCCTCTCGATTCGTTCCATGAACGAGAGGTCCACAAATTGAACGATCAAACCTTTAAACAGTTAGGATCGTCTCAAATTCCCATCTTGGTCAAACCTTTAAACAGTTAGGACCAAAGCCAAAATCCCCTCTCGATTCGTTCCATGAACGAGAGGTCCACAAATTGAACGATCAAACCTTTAAACAGTTAGGATCGTCTCAAATTCCCATCTTGGTCAAACCTTTAAACAGTTAGGACCAAAGCCAAAATCCCCTCTCGATTCGTTCCATGAACGAGAGGTCCACAAATTGAACGATCAAACCTTTAAACAGTTAGGATCGTCTCAAATTCCCATCTTGGTCAAACCTTTAAACAGTTAGGACCAAAGCCAAAATCCCCTCTCGATTCGTTCCATGAACGAGAGGTCCACAAATTGAACGATCAAACCTTTAAACAGTTAGGATCGTCTCAAATTCCCATCTTGGTCAAACCTTTAAACAGTTAGGACCAAAGCCAAAATCCCCTCTCGATTCGTTCCATGAACGAGAGGTCCACAAATTGAACGATCAAACCTTTAAACAGTTAGGATCGTCTCAAATTCCCATCTTGGTCAAACCTTTAAACAGTTAGGACCAAAGCCAAAATCCCCTCTCGATTCGTTCCATGAACGAGAGGTCCACAAATTGAACGATCAAACCTTTAAACAGTTAGGATCGTCTCAAATTCCCATCTTGGTCAAACCTTTAAACAGTTAGGACCAAAGCCAAAATCCCCTCTCGATTCGTTCCATGAACGAGAGGTCCACAAATTGAACGATCAAACCTTTAAACAGTTAGGATCGTCTCAAATTCCCATCTTGGTCAAACCTTTAAACAGTTAGGACCAAAGCCAAAATCCCCTCTCGATTCGTTCCATGAACGAGAGGTCCACAAATTGAACGATCAAACCTTTAAACAGTTAGGATCGTCTCAAATTCCCATCTTGGTCAAACCTTTAAACAGTTAGGACCAAAGCCAAAATCCCCTCTCGATTCGTTCCATGAACGAGAGGTCCACAAATTGAACGATCAAACCTTTAAACAGTTAGGATCGTCTCAAATTCCCATCTTGGTCAAACCTTTAAACAGTTAGGACCAAAGCCAAAATCCCCTCTCGATTCGTTCCATGAACGAGAGGTCCACAAATTGAACGATCAAACCTTTAAACAGTTAGGATCGTCTCAAATTCCCATCTTGGTCAAACCTTTAAACAGTTAGGACCAAAGCCAAAATCCCCTCTCGATTCGTTCCATGAACGAGAGGTCCACAAATTGAACGATCAAACCTTTAAACAGTTAGGATCGTCTCAAATTCCCATCTTGGTCAAACCTTTAAACAGTTAGGACCAAAGCCAAAATCCCCTCTCGATTCGTTCCATGAACGAGAGGTCCACAAATTGAACGATCAAACCTTTAAACAGTTAGGATCGTCTCAAATTCCCATCTTGGTCAAACCTTTAAACAGTTAGGACCAAAGCCAAAATCCCCTCTCGATTCGTTCCATGAACGAGAGGTCCACAAATTGAACGATCAAACCTTTAAACAGTTAGGATCGTCTCAAATTCCCATCTTGGTCAAACCTTTAAACAGTTAGGACCAAAGCCAAAATCCCCTCTCGATTCGTTCCATGAACGAGAGGTCCACAAATTGAACGATCAAACCTTTAAACAGTTAGGATCGTCTCAAATTCCCATCTTGGTCAAACCTTTAAACAGTTAGGACCAAAGCCAAAATCCCCTCTCGATTCGTTCCATGAACGAGAGGTCCACAAATTGAACGATCAAACCTTTAAACAGTTAGGATCGTCTCAAATTCCCATCTTGGTCAAACCTTTAAACAGTTAGGACCAAAGCCAAAATCCCCTCTCGATTCGTTCCATGAACGAGAGGTCCACAAATTGAACGATCAAACCTTTAAACAGTTAGGATCGTCTCAAATTCCCATCTTGGTCAAACCTTTAAACAGTTAGGACCAAAGCCAAAATCCCCTCTCGATTCGTTCCATGAACGAGAGGTCCACAAATTGAACGATCAAACCTTTAAACAGTTAGGATCGTCTCAAATTCCCATCTTGGTCAAACCTTTAAACAGTTAGGACCAAAGCCAAAATCCCCTCTCGATTCGTTCCATGAACGAGAGGTCCACAAATTGAACGATCAAACCTTTAAACAGTTAGGATCGTCTCAAATTCCCATCTTGGTCAAACCTTTAAACAGTTAGGACCAAAGCCAAAATCCCCTCTCGATTCGTTCCATGAACGAGAGGTCCACAAATTGAACGATCAAACCTTTAAACAGTTAGGATCGTCTCAAATTCCCATCTTGGTCAAACCTTTAAACAGTTAGGACCAAAGCCAAAATCCCCTCTCGATTCGTTCCATGAACGAGAGGTCCACAAATTGAATGATCAAACCTTTAAACAGTTAGGATCATCTCAGAACTCCCACTTGGTCAAACCTTTAAACAGTTAGGACCAAAGCCAAAATCCCCTCTCGATTCGTTCCATGAACGAGAGGTCCACAAATTGAACGATCAAACCTTTAAACAGTTAGGATCGTCTCAAATTCCCATCTTGGTCAAACCTTTAAACAGTTAGGACCAAAGCCAAAATCCCCTCTCGATTCGTTCCATGAACGAGAGGTCCACAAATTGAACGATCAAACCTTTAAACAGTTAGGATCGTCTCAAATTCCCATTTGGTCAAACCTTTAAACAGTTAGGACCAAAGCCAAAATCCCCTCTCGATTCGTTCCATGAACGAGAGGTCCACAAATTGGATGATCAAACCTTTAAACAGTTAGGATCATCTCAGAACTCCCACTTGGTCAAACCTTACTACAGTTAGGACCAAAACCAAAATCCCCTTTCGATTCCTTCCATGAACGGGAGGTCCAGCTTCGATTTGCGCAATCAAAACTATAAAAGTTAAGATTGCTTCCAATCTCAATTGATCAAACCTTATTCAGATTCTCTGAATAGAAATCCCACTTCAAATTTCCTTTGTACCAGGAGATAGAATATAAAATTCTTCCTCTCCGATTCCGGGTTATCTCTACCAACAAACAACAATTGATCAAACCTTATTCAGATTCTCTGAATAGAAATCCCAATTTAAATTTCCTTTGTACCAGGAGATAGAATATAAAATTCTTCCTCTCCATCATCGGGTTTATCTCTACCAACAAACAAGAGACCAGGAGATAGAATATAAAATTCTTCCTCTCCGATTTCGGGTTTATCTCTACCAACAAACAAGAGACCAGGAGATAGAATATAAAATTCTTCCTCTCCATCATCGGGTTTATCTCTACCAACAAACAAGAGACCAGGAGATAGAATATAAAATTCTTCCTCTCCGATTCTGGGTTCATCTCTACCAACAAAAAAGAGACCTAAATACTCCAATAGGTACACGAGTCTAAACTGTTTCCCTATCATCAACAGGAAGTTTCTGGAGAATATTACTCAGAATATTCTTAAGAATAACCTGAATACTCCAAATAGGTATAAGAGTCTAAACTGTTTCCCTATCCTCAACAGGAAGTTTCTAGAGAATATCAGTTAAAATATTCTTGAGAATAACCTGACTACCCCTAAACGGGTATATGCAGTGTCAGCTTGATGACGAGAGTTGATCTCACAAGTACAAGTTCCAGCTTTAATTCAAGATCTCTACAATGGACAAGCGATAAACGCGATGCCGGGAAGAATCTTAACTATTCTACAAAGCACTGAATAGATTGAGAGACAAAGAGATCAAAAGTTGAAGCCACCTACGGGTTCCTCTATACGATCTACTCAACCAAGCATTGAAAGGATCGTAAGTAAGATCTATCTTATCCAAAGCATCCCAGAACTCCTCTATAAAAGATTGAGTCTGGAATACTTTGGAGGGGGTATCTGTAGGCGTCAAAAAATGCTGAAAGATATCCAAATACAGCTCAAGAGGAAATCATCCAAAAAGGCAGAAAAAACACAAGTCTTGACTGTCTCGCCGTGCGAGACAGACTTGACTGTCTCGCCGCGCGAGACAGTCTTTACTGTCTCGCGGGCGAGACAGACTTTTACTGTCTCGCCCACGCGAGACAGTCTTTGCTGTCTCGCCGTGCGAGACAGAATTTACTGTCTTGCACGTGAGACAGTTTTCAGATGGTCAAAACTGTCTCGCGGGCCGAGACAGCAAACACTGTCTCGCCCGTCGAGACAGCAAAAGCTGTCTCGCGAACATGTTTTCTGCCAACTGTTCCTAGAGGCTATATATACCCCCCGAAGGCTATTTTCTCGGGGGGCTGATCATTTTGAGCACTTCAGAACACTTCAGAGCAATCCAGAGCAGAGAGAGAGCAGAGGTCTTGAACTTTCGGCCACTCCTTGATAATCAGGCTTTGACTTGATTTCAAGAAGAACGACTATCTTACTTCGATAAGATATCGTTTTAATTTCTAACTTCGATAACGAAGGAAGAATCAGTAAACCCCTCTTCACGATTTGTGATTCGGTGGTCCACGAGCTAACGCGCTCCCGGCACAGGCAAAGAACCCACGAAAGCAGTGATCCAAACAACGATCCTGCGTTTATTTTCTCAAGAGTTGTAATTTTCTTTTGTTGTGCAAAAGAGTCTTATAAAAAGGCTGTTTTCTTTGAATTTATTGTAATCGACCGAAGATATAATGAATTCGACAACGAAACCAACTTTTGGCGAAAACAAAGATATAATGTAGTCAATAATTCTGAGAGGTTATGAAATATTCAAACTAATTAACCTGGAAATGCAGGATGCAGACAAAGTCCCATGCAAGACAGAATGATGTCAGTGCAAAGTCAGCAGCTAGGATGTCAGATTCCTTTGTCTTTACAACTTGTCCTGATACGGGTGGAAAATTAAAGAATATTGAAGTGAATGTGTAAAGGATGCTAAATCAGTCTTCTGTATATCTAAAACGAATGATGGAAAAACTGCTAATTCTGTATATTTAACAATGAGCAATGGATGTAGTTGAGAATGTCTTCAGGGAGACCAAAAGACAACGTTGGTGAATATCTAATGTTTAACATCAGTAAAATATAAATATTCCACATTGTCATGTAATGTCATACTCTTTGAGTAGATAAATCTTGATTGCATTTTCTTTTACTCATTGGCGCACTCTGAACTTGGGGGTTTTGCACAAGAACTATGTCACAAAGAGGGAACCTCAACTCCTAGGCCATGGAAGTGGTATTACCTGCCATATCCAATGACTGAATGCAACTCGACATACTAAAAACATGAGGACACAGTTACGATACTTGAAGCAGAATGGAAAAGGTGAAATTATCAATGGAAGGTTCTTTTAAAATGGCTTATCCTGCTACAGTATGTAAGGTAGACTGCCTCACATGGTACGTACTGTACAATATAAATATTCCACATTGTGACGGCATGTCATACACTTGAGTAGATGAATCTTGATTGCATTATTTCCTTATACTTAATAGTGCACTCAGAAATTTGGGGTTTTGCACAAGAACTGTCACAAGGAGGGAACCTCAACTCCTGGGCTACGGAAATGGTATTAGTTGCCATATCCAATGCCTGAATGTGTCACGCCACAGACTCCTGAGCCCCATTGACGAGATGTAAGCCATGAGACTGACTGAGTGTAGAGCGTTTTTTGGCTCAAACCACTGCCAAAATCAGCTAGTCGATGCTGCACTTGAGCCTTTGACTTTATTTATATGAACAATTTAATCTCATACATACCCACTGACAATTGGCACATCTCAGTACCAGTGCTAGGTGACATGGACTCTATAGGTGGCTCCTACCGGCGCTAGAGGTGGCTCCCACCGCGTTCCCACCTAGCACTTAGCCAACGTAGCATTTAGCTCCACACTTTCGGCTAGCAATTTTCTATGATACCATTTGTCATGCCCCACACCCACGAGCCCCCAGTCACATTGTGCCAATGGGCTCGCGGGCTTGGGGAGTGACAGAATGCAACTCGACATACCAAAAACATGAGGACACAGTTACGATATTTGAAGCAGAAAGGAAAAGCAATAACTATCAATGGAGGGTTCTCCTAAAATTGCTCATCCCGCTACAGTATGTAAGGTAAACTGCCTAAATGATTACACATATAGAATTAGGAATTAAGGCATTAATGAAATTCAAAGTGGCATATTTGACCATGCGATATAAAGGTTAAGAAAAATTGTCCATTTGAAGTATTATAAGACTTAAAGCATCTGTGTCCATATGAGCAGTAATCAAGGAGCAGATAAATTTAAAATTCAAAAGGAAAAAATGTATAAACAGATATAGATGCCTGAAATAAAAATGTTCAACTTTTGAACTATAAATAAAAAGAATCAGAATCTAATATGAACCTTAATCACTGTTGAGCTAAAGGAATATGCACGTAAGTGAAGTGCAAAACCTGATGCGTTAAATAGTGATCACGATGATTGACAAGGAAAAAATGCTCAACAAGCTCGCTAACAGATTCATCTGGATCAGGTGGCACATTCCTTACAATGACCTGCAACAAAATATATTATGGATTAGCGCGAGAGGAAAAGGCTCTAAAAACACCAGCTCACTTTCAGAGTTTTGTGCACAATAGACACAATTTACTACAATAAGTAGACAGTAGAAACAGCAATGTATCTTATGCATAACACATGCATGGGACACCTGCATTAATGAATTCCAGAAGAACTAAGTGTGCTTTTAATATAGATAAATACATAGGTGCGGTCCAGGAACAAACTTAAAGATGGTTTTGAACTCATAAAACTACAATAAAGATCCCCCCACCAGACAATCTGTAATTTTCATCACAATCTACACGTCATAAAATGTATGTGCTTAGAAAGTTGTATGCTCTAGAAATGTTAAGAAATCAATTTACTGGTCGAGAAATAAAACGGATGTTCCATATAGGAAAGAAGGGATCACATGGTGAAGATCTCAAAAGTTATCACAACTATTTTCTTTTGTCAACATATCTTTCATGTTATGGCAATATGGACTTACAGCTGGAAAATCACTGGATTCTCCTTAGAAATTAAATGAAACATGTTAAAGAGGGTATGCTACTTATGATTTTTATTATAGCATATGCACTGGTAGGATGACATAGCTAATTCATGTCGAATTCCGTAAGAATAGGCAAACCTGACATGATGTTTTGACAGAGTCCAGTAATAAATACAAGCGAGGTCCTCCTTGTAGATTGAATATAAAGTAACAGAAAAACATGGCGGGAGGTACCCATTTTTTCTAAAATAATACAAATACTTAGTGGAAGCTGAAATAATACTTGCACAAGTATACGACATACTGGCACATGGAAGTACATGATATATGTGTTTTAACAAGGACATGGCTTCATATTAGAAATGTCTGTTCTACATAGACTATATCATGAGTAATACTGCCCAAGTGAGCTTAGTTAATGCACTTTGACAGTTCCATTATGAGCTTCTCGCCACCTGCAACAGGCAAGGGATCTTCAAATTAAAATGCAATAATGTACTATGTTAAGTTTATTACAAACAACTCTATTTCACAGTAAGGAGGCCATTGATAGCTGGTGGAGGCTTGTAGTACTCCATGGAACAGCAGGACTAGTTAAAATGCAAGGGTCTTCAAACTAAAATGCAAGGGTGCACTATATGAAGCTTATTACAAATTGATAGCTGTGAAGGCTTGAAGTACTCCATAGAATGGCATTGGCACTAGTTGAAAATAAGTCTCCTCTTTTGAGTTCTTTCTCCCTTCATTGAAGCATTTTCCCCATGGACTTGTCTTCCCCAAGATGGATATCTTTCTACTTTCACGGAATGGCAGGGGGACTACTTGAAAATAGTTCTCTTCTTTCAAGTTCTTTCTCCCTTCATTGGAGCATTTTCCCCATGGACTTGTTTTCCCCAAGATAAATATCTTTCTACTTTCACGGAAAACTCTTTAGAGTTTCTCCCTTTCTTTGCAATCTTATTCATTTTTCATATGTAAGCCTATGGGCCTTTGTCCAAAAAGGAACCATAAGATATTGAAGAAAAGACGTGAGTCACATCCGATAAATTGAAGAGCATAAGAAATATTAACTATCGTCAATGTTCCAAACTATGATATGCGGTCTAGAGGAATGAGTAAGCATGACTATCTAATGGCATTGGTGTGTATAACAAGACCGAAGGTAAATAGAATTAAAGAATAGGAATGGATGATGGCAGTAGCCAATATATGCAGCAAATAAACAAATTAGAGAAGTCCACAGAAACAAAGACTATGGTTTTGGTGTTAGGTATTATTCATATGCGATGAAGAGATTCAGAAGGTATCAATTTGAGAACTTACAGTATACTGATCTGGACGACGTTTTGTTGTAGCCAAAAAATGCAATCTCATTGATGCAACTATTTCATATTCTTTAAGTAACACGTAGCAAGTCCAAAATGAAAAGGCATACGCCATTGCTATATGGACCCAAAACCTGCAAAGAGAATGAGAAACTCAAGAAGGTCTAAATTTTGCCTAAGAAGATAGCAGATTTAAAACAATAGGAGTGGAAGTAAGAAATGACTAGTATTAAGCATGCAATTGCTGTGATTGAGAATAAGGCCAAGATTATTCTGGTAAGTGCAATGGATTGTAGTTAAAAGTAGACATTAGAAAACTACAAACATGATTTCTTCTGCCAATAATAGATAATCTATCTGACCTCCAGTAGTTTATTTTTAATTCCTGGTACCTTTGTGTGATGCTATTCAATGAATTCATTACTTAATGCCATTTTCTGTTTTCTAATAGACTTGAAATGAAAAATTAATAGGACTAAAATTTTGAAAAAGTCACTATGATTTTAAACAGAAATAATTGCATGGCCACAGTTACACGAAACAGTTAGCTTTGAAACTCTAGGTCTAAAAGTAGTGAGGACTCCCTTGTGTCATCCTTCACCATCTATATGGAGTAATAGAATGTTCTAGAAAATAAACAATTTCAAAAGGAAAAGAGTTTCGAGAGTAAAAAAATTGAATATGGAATCGATTACACAAACATGCACAACCAAACTCGCCTGATTCATGCCAATAATAGTTTGTCTGGATTCCTTTGAGGAATTATGCAATTGAGCATAGAGTATTGAAGTTAATAGAGGCAAATGCAAATAACATATAGCAGTGACATATGAAAAGGCTAGTGAGAATGAACTGGAACAATTGAATTCAACTCAATGACCAGGCGGAATACATATTCTTTGCATAAAAGGAAGATTCTACAAGGCACAGTACCTGCCTGCTACTCCAGGAATCAAAGAAGAAACCGGAAATCGTGGACGTCATTGAACAGGTACTACACTATCAAGAGTAGACACCAAAGCTGCCGAGAAAATTGAGGTTTGCCTCATAAGAGTGGGGGGTGGGGGGGGGGGGGACTTGCGGCGTTGTTGAGAAGCAGATATCATGTTTAGTCATGTTCAGTTATCATGGTAGGTTGGAAGCAGATAGAGTACCAGAGGTGTGGAGTCTGTGGACATCACTGAAGAGGTACTATACTGTCAAGAGTAGCCACCAAAGACCAGGAAATGAACGTGAGTTTAATATGAATTTTACTGCATGAGCAGAACATGACATCAGATCAGAACCGAGGGCAGATAGAGGACCAGGGCTTAGGATTTAAGTTATACCTCAAACAAAAATAACACTTACAGCCTCATCATCTTAGATATTAGTGTGAAATCCTTCACAAACTTGGGGGAATTAACTAGCTCCCTGTTGTATAAACTTCACTGCATAACTAAAAAGAAATACATCTACTTGATTTTGATGACAGGATCACCTCACTGTTACCTTACCCAAGAATTTGAAAAAGAAGGCTGAGATAGATGAATGGAATCATGCCAAGAAGGTCACATAAGAAAGGAAAGCCTCCTTGAGTTGATTCAGATTAAGAATAAAATAGGGGAGAAACAGTTAGGATGGGCTAAGAATATAATATGCACTATGCAGACCTGTGAGAGCACAACTTATTGGAAGAGCTGTAGGAACTAGAGGAGATAATAAGACTAAGGCTAGCTCTCAAGGAACATGTAGACAAGGATATGTTAATTGTTAACCGGATGGAGAAAAGGGACTCATGTCACTGACACCAACCCCGGGGATAAAGGCTTTGTTGTTATTGTCATAGGTGAAGTTATGGCCAGTAACTTATTATCAGATTAATCCTCATTAGACACAAGAATCAGAACATAATTCTTCTACTGTTGTTTCCCTAATTAAACATGAAAACGATTGTAGTTGTTACTGCTAATATAAACAATATAAAATTGTGAATGCCAGAAGTCTGAAATAGTATAATACCCATATAGTTCCATCAGCAAAGCCATAATTTAAGCAGTTAATTTTTCATACACCGCAACAATTAGCAAAATAAAATAAATAACAATAGTAGTACCTAGAAGGTCTCAGTTAACATCTTGCACAAAATATAAATAAATAAAAATAAAAATTCTGAAGTACAACTAGATGCATAACTGATCAAATCACAACCTGAAATACATACTTAATTTAAGTAAAAACATATTTGGAACTCACCTCTGTGATCCAATTTTGATGTTTGATATGGAAAGCTTGTCTATATCACTGTGTACTACCGTTGATTTCGCTAGAGTGTCATTGGTCCGATTGACTGGTATCAGGACTAGAAATGCCGCCATTGTGATAGGTACAAATATTTTAAGTCTGAAAAATAAGAATCACCATCAACAGAAGAATAAGATTGTGAATTGGTGTTTTGCATTATGCATTTATTGGCAAGCTTAAAAGATTAAAAGAAACTGGAGATAAAGAGAGGAAAAAAAAACATAAACAATTTGAAATAAACTAATCAGTTACTAGTTGCTTTGTATAAACTAAAGTCATCGAGCAAAAAGGGAGTACCCAATCAAGTATATCCTCAAATAAACAGCAGAATCAAGCCCTGCATGGTCAATGAGTTCAGGTTCAGGCATTTTAAGGGCAGCTGGCATCCATTCCAAAAACTTTATATATGATCTGAAGTCTAAATTGACAAACTTCCGCACTAATGTCCCAGAGCTTGTTGGGCTGCTTCTAACACCTTTAAGATACCATTTTGGGAAGTACACCCTATCATTGAATGGCTGCAGTCGCAGTACTGCAAATGCCACGAAGAATGCAAAGGCACTTAAAATATTTATAGCCGCAGAGAGTGCTATGTCGGTAAGTGTAGCCATAACTTCCTCTCAATGATTACAAAACCAACCCTGGAAAATTTTACACATTGAATTGAACAAAAAGATTAGATATGCCATCAAAGTAGTATATTAATATAAATGAACTAAAAGCACTAGCATCAAACTCAAGAATCCAAATCATTTTATCAGATAAGCGACAACAACCAATATGAGCACATATATAGAAACACGGAAAGTTGATAAGATGCTGCAGGTTCATACCAAATGCGCTACTTTAAACTCTAAAAAGAAAGTAATACAATCACTTCTTGTAAATAAGATAATTAAGCAACTGTCGGGCACCTCTTTTTACAAACTAAGATAGTAGTAGTAGCCCTCATGTCCCAAGGCCATTATGCATCTTACTCTCATGCTTACAGAAACAACAAGGACATCATCTAGAATTTGTGGTGTTAAAATAGGTAATCTAAGTACCTGTCATAAAAAAATACGTAATCTTAGTGCCCTGTCATAAAAACTCACACCATTGAATTTCCCATAAACGAAAATTATCACCCTGATCGACTATAATAAGGCGGTGTGAAACAGGAAAATGCATAAAGAAGGAAAATATCATCAAACCGAAAACCAAAAAAAAAAATATCATCAAGCCCTGTATAACTGTCTAACACCCTGAAATATTGAATTTGAATCAATTCTACGAAAAAAAGAAAAATTCTACATCCAGACCCAAAAACCTCCTTCAACAGACTCAGTCAGGTCGTTCACATCAACCTCTTCGGAAATTAACCATGGTCTTTCCTCAAACCAAAATGCATACAATGACACTAAAAAAACTCAAACTAATTATAGGAAAAACACTAAATTAAGAAGAAGAGAAAAAAGGGCGTACCTTCACCAACTCAGTCTTTGCCAATTGTAGAAACTTTAAGGCAAAGGATCAACAAAGGAGTAAACACATCCACAACCTTCAACAAAAGGAAAGTACGGATTCGCTCCTACCCCCAAAGGGATAAACTTAACCCTCACTACTTCCCCAATTCTAAATCTAGCAACCGAAATAATTGAAAGATGACGATGGAGATAAAACGCTAGAAGAAGAAACGAGAGGCTGTGAAGGGATCTGGCAGTACTCACTGTTTTGTTTTTGTTCAACTAATACATAAATGTGAGTAATAAAGGAAAAAAAAAACTAGGGTTTGGTTTGATGGCGATTTGTAAGTTTTTTGGTTGATGATGATAGTTGTCGGCAAGAGGAGTAAAGGGGGGTGTGGACAGTGTGAAGATAGAGCCGTTAGAAAAAGGACGCGAGAGAGAGCCAGAGAGAGAGAGAGATAATTTTGTTGGTTAGTGAGAGGTCGGTAGAATAATGGCGGCAGACCCTAACATAACGGCAGGTAAATTTTAATGAGAGTAATAAGGATTAGTATTTATAGGATGGACTTTTTTGGTTTAGATCCTCTATAAGTGATCAGCAATTGGAGAGTCTTAAATTTCCCCTATCATTATTGTACATTCTGAATTCAATGGACGAGATTATGTTATGTAGGACTCTACTATTGTGATAGTAATTTAAAAGAACAGTGGTTTTCGAAAAATAGCGGTTTTCAAGTTCATAGTGGTTTTATCTCGTAAGCTAATTTTGTCCCTTGAATTCGTAATGTAAGATGATTGGAGGAATTGGAGACTCTTCAATTACCACATAACCGGAGAGGATTCAAATCTAACTTTTTTTTCCGGGAGAAAATAAATAATAGAAAATAAACTATGGCCAAACCCTATAAAAATTGGTTGTAATTGGTTAATAAGGTAAATCTCAAGCATTATTATATCATGGACGACTATAATTCGTTTTGAATTTTATATTAGTTGCTCAAATATTTTAACAGTTTGAAATTAGTTTCTGAAATCATTGAAATTGTTAGTAGATCCCCAATACAACTTATAATAATGCGAATATTCATTACAATTTTCTGCAATATATTTTTTCCTTTTAAATAATAGAGACACACATATTTCTATCTCTTTGAAGCATATTGAAAAGTATTACTTATGTATAAGAAAAGACTGAAAAAAAAAATCTCGAGATTACTTAATTGGCTAGTACTAAGTCAAGATTTTAATTAGTTTATATAATTATCACATTATTATCACGTTAAATTTTGGATAAGAAATCCCCTAAGAATGTAATCACTACACTAGGTCTTATTGTTCATATCGGCTACAATCGCCAAAGAAGAATCCATTCTATACTCGTCTAAATAAAACCTTTTCACATTAAAAGAAGATGAGAATAAAAACGTACTTATGTGAAGAACAATGAAAGGTTTACACGAGTTCATATACGGGTCGGGTCCGTCTCAAGAGATGTGTATACACACTATGCAAAATAAATACTTCTGACCGGAAATAAATATCCTCACCACGCAGAAAACATGTGGATTGTGGACCATGACAGGCTGACAGCACCGCGCGTCGTGCACGAGCTAAAACTGGCCTTCTTGTAAATATCAACGGTCACATTTTCAAAACCAATATAAATAAAATAAACTTAGAAAAGTCAATGGAGTTAAACCAACTCATGACCAACACCAACTAGGTACTAAGATGTATCCGTATCTAAGTAAATATTCGTAGCTGTATCCTAACCAATATAAACATAGATATGGTTACTCAAATCTGTAATCGATAGCATATGGTTACGGATATGATTTTGTAGTGAAATATACGGATCCATGTCTGAAATATTCGAAAACATATTAGTCATATTGTTATATAATTTTACTCCTTAGATTATAGATTCGAGGTTAATTTTGACGATCAATATGTTTAATCTCAACTTTTCAGATATAAAGTATATAGTAATGAACTCTTTTATATCACATGAATTATATTTTTTTTCAATACCATCTAACTTTCTCATATCTATTGTGTATCCACATTCATATTCTACTCATACATCCGCATGTATATCCGTCTCCATATTCGACTTTAGCGGATACGGATATGGATATGAATTTTCCTTACCGAGGTACATCTATATTCATATCCATATTCGATATGGGTAAACGGATATGGATATGATCAAATATCATATCCGAACCGTATTCCGACCGAACGCACCCCCTACCTCCCAAGGAATCATAATACAAATTAAGACCACTCTGTAGACATTCTTTACTTTACTTGCACTGATTAAAATTTCATCCACCCACCCGCTTACCCTCCGACCAAACCTCTACGCATGTGATGCACAGCTTGGTCCACAAATAAAGTTACGATTCATTTCTCATTAGCATGTGACGCCATCCTCACTTTAATAATGCATCCAGAGCGAGTGGTGTTCAATTAGCTTGATTGATTTGTGAAGCTTTATTTTAATTATTTTTTCAGCGAGGACTTTAGTTTTTTCCGAATCTACCTAATTACGTCGATTAATAAATAAAAATATGTTACCTTTTCAAAACCCATTTGGTTACAAGATGCCGCGGTTTTACAGGGAACACTAATATTATACGAATTTTATTTGTCATTTAATAAAAAAAAATACATTAAAAAACCGCCAATTTGTTTTGCAATACTATAACATTCCCTTTGATTTTGTTGGTTGTGGCTGATCAGCAATCAGTGGGATATTAATTTGAGCGGTAACAGTTTTGGTTAACCACTACTTTAATAATAATAAAAAAAGGCCTCATCGTCAAAAATCAAGGACAAAAGCTTACGGCCAAATTTCAATTCTCATCAAAGGAGAATAGACGACTAAAGCCAAAATTTTCTTTGTTCGCTGGATGCATAAAGTCCAAAAGCTTGTTAGTCCAAATTTGAGAGTAGTCCCTGAGGCTGCTTGTGTTTTGCTTTTTTTTTTTCTTTTCTTGGTGAAGAAAATGCCTTTAGTCATAAAATCACTGAGTAAAACAAAGAGCAATGATCATGAGGCTGCTTGTTTGACTGGTCAAGTAGTTCGATAATCTTGCATTGTTTTAATATATACAAAGAAGAACAATTTTTCAAAACCGCCTGAATTTTTTTTTTTTTTTTCAAAACCGACTGTTTTTTTTTTTATTTATCAAAACCGACCCGGTTTTGTGATTAGCAGGTTAATGACTATCCTAAATAGTCGGGGTTGCCAACCCCGACTATTTAGGAGGGGGTTAAACCCTAATTAAAGGGTGATTAGCATGTTAATCACTATCCTAAATAGTCGGGGTTGCCAACCCCGACTATTTAAGATAGTGATTAGCCTGCTAATCACAAAACCGGGTCGATTTTGATAAATAAAAAAAAAACAGTCGGTTTTGGAAAAAAAAAAAAAATCAGGCGGTTTTGAAAAATTGTTCATACAAAGAAAGATCCATGTGGAAGGAGGAACTTCTTCATTCGTGATAAATTAAAGCCTAAACTGAACGAGGAACATTAATTAATGTTCGCAGATCTGGATAAGATTTTCAGATACATGCAATAATAACATTTTATTATTACAGAAACAATCATATTTAGTTTGGCCGACAAGAACTGGGTACAAAATATTTAATAATTCCTCAGCTGTGAAGTTCAAAGAGTTAGTTGCGCATAGACTACCCTTATTGTTTCAAGTTTCAGAGAGACCCCCTGAGTTAAATTTTTGTTCTCCTTGACCATCAGAAGCTCAACTAATTTCACCTAGGAGCGTTATCTATGAAAATTTCATCACAGGTAAATAAGCCAAAAAAATCTTTAACCCGGGGGATCTATCTGCAACAGAGTAAGTACAGGGACAGTAAGTGCAAAACAACGATGCAACATCGGGGGTCTACGTGCAACTAACCCGAGTTTAAAAGGATAAGCTAACCTGGCCGTAAGCTTCAACATCATGTAAATCATAACCCCTTTGTTTTATAAACTCTGTGAATTGTTGGGCTCTGATACCACTTGTTGTGCGCGGAAGCCACTTGTTGTGCGTCGAGGAATCAAACCAAACACCGAGAGAGAAGGCAACTCAAATCTAACAATAATGACACAAACTCAAACACAAAGTTTAACGTGGTTCGGTAAATTGCCTACGTCCACGGGGCAAGAAGGAGATGAGTTTTCACCATAGAGAAAGAGAGTACAAAATAGAGATTACAAGATCACTCAAACTAACCTCTCAAACAAAACCCTCGAATCTCTAACAAAACCCTCAAACAATTTGCTCAGAAAAGAACTCTCTTTTCTGTGCTCAAAAAACTCTCCTTCAAGCCACCCCAAAAGTGATCAACTCAGAACAAATTCTGATTGATACCAAACCCTAAAATCGTGTTCATATTTATATAAAACAGTAAACCCAAACAGAACAGGTAACCAAGCTCAGGCCCAAAACCGTATCGCGATCGACCGTCGCGCCAGTTGCGGTCGACCGTGGCAAATGATAGAAACAAAAAATGCGCTACAAGGTCTTACGGTCAACCGCCGCGCCACTCGCGGTCGACCGCAAAAAGTCCAGAGACTTTCCTGTGTTGTGCACGTTCGCGGTCGACCGCAGCGCCACTCGCAGTCGACCGTGCAACATCCAAAATGTTCGCTGCTTTAAAAATCCGAACTTCGTCGCTGTGTCGCCAATTCTACAATTCTCGACCTCGGTAAAGTCTTCCCAAAACTGAGTCGACACCAACCAAACCAAATATCCCACTTATTACATCTAGTATGAAGTGAAACAAAATCACAATAACGGACTCAATCCACAACAAGTCGAGACCCAAATGAGAATGCGAACACTCTCCAAATGTTGGTATCTACTCATCAAATCGGCTGCATTATAAATGACTGTCTATGTATCCTCTTGCCAAAGGAATCAAGCATTCACGTAGTTCCCCAAATGACCTCCAAAGACCCTCAAACAAATAGAAAATTTCTCAACTCTTCACCAACAAATATGCAATTGATAACTCTTCAAATAGCCCCAAAGTGAAACAAATCAAACATCTCCACCTGAGGTGAACTAATGGCTGTATCCAAATCATATCCATCAGATGCATTCGAATCAACCAACTCATCATCTGCACCCAAATCCAAATGATCCCCTAACTGTGTCACCTCAGCTGGAATCCCAAACGATACAGTATAATCTGGAGTATGTGGAGTAGCATCACTTTCCACCCTCTGTGATACATATAAGGTCTATCCAAAACTCTCCACCTGCTGAGAGTCAATTAGCTCCCTCATCGAAGCCTCAACCGTAGTGACACTACCAGACCAAACATCCAATAGAGTTTTACCTCCAATCATAGCAGTCGACAACCTATGACCAAGATGACCCAAATATGTCGAAGCCTCAACACCAGAAT